AGAGCAAGCAAGAATCAACAAGACAAACATTGTTGTCTGTACTCCTGGAAGACTACTACARCACATGGATGAAACACCAAACTTTGAATGTAATTCACTGCAAGTACTTGGTAAATAAACTCAATTAAATGCAGTCTATGACTATATGTGGCTAGATACATGTGTACCTCAGTGGTTCTGGAGTTACAGTATGCTCTAAAATTATGTGTTAAAGTATGCCGAGATTATGCAGTACAAAGTCAAAAAGATGTACAAAAATTATCTCTCAAAACCTTTTAAATTACGACTGATTTTTCACTTTTCCTTATTTCAAAAAACGTACTCTTTCTTGGCTATTTTGTAACCAACCAAAAGGGCTCACCTTAGTCTTCTCGCTCTCATTATGCCAGGAACAACTGTGTCATGTCTGGCCTGAATGGTTTACTTTTGTTTCTTCCAAGCACGATAGCAAGGTGGCTAGACTAGCGTCTTATGACACAGCTACCCAGAAAATGATATTGATTAACAAATATGGAAAGTTCTAGTTAACAATGTTGGTTTTTTGGTTTGTATTTTGTAGTGTTAGATGAAGCAGATAGGATCCTAGACATGGGCTTTGCATCAACTCTTAATGCCATCATTGAAAACTTACCCACWGAAAGACAGACTCTTCTGTTTTCAGCAACACAAACCAAGTAGGTGGTATAAAACTTTCATAAATTGTATAAAATTATCAAATATTAGTTTTAACATCCCTGGTACAAGTAGTTTGATTAATAAAAATTATATTTTTAACTGTGATGGCATTGTATACAAGTCATTTACTTCTAAGCTTCTTTCTCATGGGTTAATCTCCTTCCTAGCACTATAACTTTTCTTTATTTCTATCATTGTATCTCATAGTGCCATGCAGTCCTTAAATTGACCATTTCAAATACAAGTCATATATATTAGTTAATTAAATGTAGGCTACAATCATTTTATTAAATAAATGATGTATACTATTAATTACTATTTATTATTAATTTTATTTTTCAGGTCAGTCAAAGACTTAGCAAGACTTAGTTTACAGGTTTGTTAATTGGTATTTTTTTACAATTTTATTTTTTTAACCAAATGATTACAAAGGAGCTCAACCTTGACTGTAAAGGCATCAGTAGACATGTAATTTATCATCTGTTGTTTTACTCAGAGCTGACGTCCATGAATGGTCATTATGTAATCCATTTTTTAGATATACAATTGTGTTTTTTGTCTTTGTTTTGTTTTGTATTTGACTCTAAAAGTTTAGTTTCATAGTGTTTTGAATTTCCAAAGAGTACATAAATTTGATTAAAATATTACTGTATATCTTCCTTATAATTACATGAATTAATTTTGAACTTGCAGGATCCTCAATACATTGCTGTTCATGAGAAATCCAATACAAGCACACCACAGAGACTCACACAGGTACATGTCTTTAACAAAGAGAAGTTCCAAGTAATTTCAGTTTGGATTTGAGCATTTCATAGTACTTATCATCTGCACTGAACTTTCATTGTAAGGTCAAGTGTTGCTTTTCATTGTTTTGTATGGAGCAGCATCTATTGTTTGTCCATTGTTTTCTCAGCCAATCACAATGTTTTATTCTGATTGGTCTGTGATGTCCCTTGATTGATCATGTGAGATACCTTTKATTATTTTCAGAGCTATGTGGTGTGTGAGCTTCCAGAGAAACTGAACTTCTTATATTCTTTTATTCGTAATCATCTTAAGAGTAAAATTCTTGTCTTTGCCTCAAGCTGTAAGCAGGTTTGTTCTTTGCTTATTTAGACTTTATTATTTTGTTCTTTCATTCATCAATTCGTTTACTTCGCCATTCAATAAAAACGCTGATGACTTGTGCAGTCATTGTACCAGTGTTTGGTTATGTTTAAAAATGAAAACACATCATAATATAAACAAAATTTGCTCTTTATTATCACTTTATGCTCTATGAATGGAGATAGAGCGGATTTCGTATGACTGTGCAAAAGCACGGATCACAACACGGACACGGCACGGCACGGTCACGGAACCTCGCCTTCTAGGATTTCAAAGGAAAGTAAAGATTTTGCAATGCATCAAGGCTACGGCACGGTACGGACACAGCACGAACGTACCGTGTTTTTTTCACAGTCATACGAAATCCGCTCTACTGTAAGATTCGACCTTAAAACTTACTGATGGAAACCGATTGTGAGGGAATATTCTCAGTCGCCTCATTTTCAATATATGAAAAACCTAAAACTTGAGCGCATTGAATGCTGGTGGATCATGATCCTTTTAATGTTCTGCTATCCATTTATCCCATCCATCCATTTATTCTCTATCCCATCCATCCATTTATTCTCTTAATCTTTTATCCATTTATTCATCCAACCGTTTCTTATCACGTTCTGCTATTGTACAAAGGTGAAATACATTTATGAAAGTTTCCGTCGACTGCGTCCAGGAMTYCCTTTAATGGCCCTGTATGGTAAACAGAAGCAACTGAAAAGAGTGGGAATCTACGATGAGTTTTGTAAAAGGACAAATTGTGTGCTGTTTGCTACTGACATCGCAGCAAGAGGACTTGGTAAGACACTTGGGGAATGAGATGTCGACGTCGTCGTGCGACGTCATTTTCTACAGCAAAGCATGATGGGAGATTTTCCTCACTTTTTTAAGTCTATTGAAATAGCTCTTTTTGCTTTTTCTTAGTAAAAATGAAAGTAGTTGTGCCGTTTCTCTCAACAATTAACTGTTTTTTACTCCTTTTTGAAACAAATATAAGTGTTGTAAAAAGAGCAAGGACTAAATTTAGTTCTATCAGCCTTTGTTGTACAAGATAGTGCTGCTGAAAATGGCCGACTTGAATAACAACACAAAAGAATTGAAGATGAGGCCGCGGGGAATCGATAGAAAATGCTTTCGTTCCCTTGATACTCGTCTTCAATTCTCTAATGCAAAATATCGAAAGTGGACTATTGATAGTTTTTGTTACGGTAATCCCCAATGTTATCATTGTCATTTTCTTCAGATTTCCCAGCAGTCAATTGGGTCATACAACTRGATTGTCCTGAAGATGCCAATACTTACATACACAGAGCTGGCAGAACTGCAAGGTTAAAACATTTTCCTTCTTTTATTGCCTTTCTTTATTGGTTACATTCTTTCCTTTTTTCCATCTTTGTAGTTTCCTCTTGTTCCTTCTATACTTCCTTATTTTGTCTGTTCATTTTCTTTATTCTTTTCCTCCATTTCTGACGTTTGTTGTTTCCTCCTTTCTTCTCTCTCTTTCCTTTTCTGATTTCTTTTTCTTCATTTTCCGGGGCAATCCATTAATCAACAATAGCTTAGATTACTCTTAATCACTCCAATTAAGATTACAATTCACTTACGCATTTATTCACCACATGTTTGGACCATAATTTCATAACTTTTTCCATTGTAGATTATCGACTAGTTGTTGGAGTGTCATATAATTATGCCTAAAGTTCTTATAATTCTATTTTTTTCTAGATATCAAAAAGATGGTCAGTCGCTTCTTGTTCTCCTTCCCTCTGAAGAACCAGAGATGCTYAAGGTAATGGTTATTGGCATGGTTATTATCTCTTGTTGAACCTTTTTTGGGGTGACCTACGTAGCACGCAGTTGATGTAATGTGTTCATAAAATGTATTGTATGCCATTGTTTCTCGTTCTATTGTATTATGTGTTTTGTATTATATCTTTATGAATATATTACATCAACTGAGTGCTACGTAGATTCTCCCACCTTTTTTCCCCTCACGCTCTCTCGAAGAGGATTGGGGCGGAATGTCACGTGTAGATCTGCCTCAGTCCCCTTCGAGAGAGCTTGCAAGATACTCGGGCTGTTTTTCTTCGCCCTAGAGCAGATTTTGCAAGAGTAACATTGCAGTGATTTTGCACCAATGTTGTGTCGTACTGATTAAAAAAATACGACGTTTTATTCAGTGTTTACTGCCACTCCCCTGGTCCTTGTGTCGTCTGTCACCATGATCCATCCATATCAATTCTACTCTATTAAAGTAATATTAATGTTACTAATAATTGACAATATTTATTGGATGTTGCAGGCTCTTGAGGAGAAGAAAGTACCGATCAACATTATCAAGTACGTAGTGCAACAAATTTTCTGACTAAAATCACTACGTAACATAAAACTTGTGCCGATACAT